TAAATAAGAAAAAGAAGATCCCTCCGACTTTGCCGAGCACTGGTCGTGTTGATGGAAACAAAGTACAATATCTGGATGATATTAATCAAATCAAAGAAAATATCAAGCCAACAATTAAACCAAAACCGAGTAGACCTACAACTCGATGTGTTGACACAGATCGAAATACTGACATTGAAACAACTGAATGTGACGTCACACACTTGACTGCAGAGAAAGTTACTGATGATTCTCATGGTTATGATATTGTGAATATTCCAGTGAATGGATTGTCACGTGACCAACAACACGCGGCTAATGTTAACTCTACAGCAGACGACATCTCGGTCTTATATGCAGATGTGAAACCATCGCCAAGTGATTTAGACCAGACAGTAAACAACGCAGACAATGACGCCAGGCATAGTAACGTGGAAGGTCTCACCTACGCTGACATCGACTACAATGACACAATAGAAGTGAAAAGGAAATTGAAGGGAGAGAATGAAGAAACAATGTACGCGGAAGTAAAACTGTAATAATACACGAATAACATCGTAACTAAAAATTGAAATCATTTAACAATGATTTGTCTCTGTCCCAGTGAATGCACACTCAACAACAATCAATTTACTAGTAGCTGTAGCATTGTTCACAGTCTAGACAAATATATTCAGCGTTAGTAATCTGAATAAAAAAGAAAGTTAACATTGTAAAAGTCTAAGGCTGCATACTATATGTTATATATTCACTCACAGTGGCAAATGATTTGGGCTATTGAAAGACAAAGAATTATTTTTCGCTTTTTTTGATTAAATAATTAAAAAGTTGAGAATATATTAAAATTTGTTGTCAGTTTAAGCAGGTCGTAGAATACATTTTATTTTACCTGCTTGTACCGTATTTTAATTTATATAATTTTTTTCTAATAATATAATATTTTTTTAATTAATTAATTTTAATTAATTATATTATTATTGATATATTACTTTTATATTTAAAAGTACATATATTTACAAGGCTATATTTGTATCATGTGCCATTTGCAACGACACATTTATTTTATTAATTTTATGAAATATATTTTTAACTTTCTCTTGAATATTCCATAAAATGACACATGAATAAGAGTGATCAAATAATAGTTTTGAATTGCAAACTAATTCTTGCATATGTTGATAAACTTGTATATATGCATGCATATTTGACAGTATTTAATGAAGTATTACATTGTTATGAATATTAATGAGTTCACTTTACACGATTGTCACGCCCACTTCAACCAAATATTAGGTAAAACAAGTGATCAAAAATACGGTGTCAAAACACAATTATTGTACATACAATGTAAACACGAACATCATGATCAAAATAAAAGTATAACTTTCGATATATTTCGAAGCACAAATGTGTTGACGGTTTTTATTCTAAAACTTGTTCAAGCTTGTTTGATGTGAGTGTAGTCAATAGTCCAGTGAAGCCAGGTCGTGTTATTGTTTGACACATTTAAATAGCTATTTATAGTGACACACAAACGAACGTGTCATGTGATACTATGGCAAGTCATTCATTCACCTATTCAATGCATATCCCTCAGCACTACAGATCAAATCGGCTTTTCATTGCTTTGTGGTCAATAAAGCATGTAGCCTGTGGTGTTTACCTGCAGTAATTTAATGGGACAATGACAATGGAGCAGTCGGCATTGTGCTGCATCATACAAGGAACGCCAGTAAAATCCATGTACCGAGAATCACTACATCTTGAAATTCCCTGCACAATAAAATTAATGCGTTACATAGTGCAGCAGATTCAACTAATCTTTAGTCTTTGCTATTGTTGATAACCAAATGCTGTGATGACGAGCGGCAGACCAATATATTTTAAGAACATATACGATTATTTGAGATTGAAGTCAGTTTGGATATCCAAGAAGTCAAAGCTACCGAATAGTACAAGCGATGAACGCCGTGGGTAGGAGCAATGGCGCATACTGCTCATCGCTGGCCCAGTAGCTATTGATTTTGCTTCGAAACATGGGAGCATCTCATTCCAACTATACTCGACTAAAGTGGAAACATGCACAGAAAAATCATTCTTTGGGAAATTGCGGACTTGAAGGGGAAAACCAATAACACTCAATAATGTAAACTGCTACCGTAATGGCGCGTTGTTTTGTACAAATCGATGCTGAATTAAAGCGATTCAGTACGTTATACAAACAAACACTCGTGGTTGGTCACTAAAATAAATAGAATATTTTTCTGGATTTTCTGTTTCTTACATATAATTAATTCATATACACTTTACATTGAAAAATAGAAATTATTTGTCCATAAAACGCCAAAGGAAACGTTCGAATGCCTTTCTTATTTGAATATTGTGCGTCACGTGAACATGACGTTTTGAACTTTTTTTCTTTGTTTACTACACACGCAGAATGTCTAAAAGCACATGATGGGAACAAAATCCCACCAGTAAACGCAAACGTTTGCACGTTAAACATTCCTTAATTGTCATTACGGTTGTTATCTCTACTTATATTATTTTTACGTTACATATTATCAAGCAGGAAACAAATTAATAGCAAGGGTATCACGAGAATACAGCAACGTAATCACCCAGACAGTAATGCTGATCACCGAATTTTCTTCGTACTTACTTTTGTATTAGAATATCACATTTTGTAAATTCGCACACATATAGGAATTCAGTCAATACATTTAAATGTTACAGAAGAAAAATAATATGTTCATGATTACGCTGTGGAATTTTCTGAGAAGTCGTAATGAAGCATTGAATGATTGCGTTTTTTAATCTGAAAAGTCAACCTTCATTGTAAATTTAAGATTGTGACTAATCAGCGAACAATTCAATGTTACTGAATATTGTAAGATCAAGAAAATGAGAATGATTACAGTTTGCCAAAACCATGTCTTTAGAGTTTATTGCTAATGGTGACATTACATGAAAAAGCGAAGGTCGTGAAGAAAGAAGCATTTCAACCCAAAGTCTAACCGTGATGGACGACGACAGAACCGTGCGAATTTGTACCACTAATTGAACCAAACAGCCAAGCGTTAGTGTTAAAAATACCCAATTAAGAGCCTTGCTGAGCCAATTTACTTATTCCCGGGTTTACCTCTATGGTAGGGGATTCCTCATTTATGTTATTGGTACAAAATAGCTGTATGATGTGCAGTCTCAATATAGTCACATGACTAGTTTCTAAGAGTCTCTTACTGTGTGTCCCACACTTTGATATTCTTGACAAGAAGACCATATGATTGGATACTGATCTGTACTATATTGTGCAAGCAATTATGGATTCATTGTTCCTGGGTTTGAATTTGCGAATTCATTTCTGATCTCTGTTAATTGTTTATTGTGTGGTCCAAATGGTTAAAATGTCTGACAAGATTCACAAGATATTTCGGTAAGAGTTGTTACATATGTGACTTTATAGTAAAACATCTGATTCATTAAATAATTTTGGATTTGATTTTAGGCGTAATTGTCTATTCATTATGTTTAGTGCACCCAACAGCCACTGCCATATCCACCCAGGGTCAATTACAATGACCTGAATTTCAGTCTCAATGCAAAACTAACAAAAGTTTTGAAGTCTGATAGGCCCTTTGAAATTAAATGTTGACCTTCTCTTCCATGTTTTGCCGGAACAGTAACTATGGCAGCCATATTTCTGGTATTTTACGGTCGAATATGGTGAGAAGCAATGCAGACAACATAATTGTTCAATCGACGTGGTTTGGAGAAAACGCGTCAGGCGGGTTAATTTTTCAACCTAACTGTTTTTGTTGGACAGATTGCAAAAGATTTCATGACACTTTGAACACTTTTCCAATTTAAGCAGTATCTATTTTTAGCGGAAATTGTGGTAAACATATATTTGCAACTTCTCCATGAATCATTCATTTGCTTTGCTGCGTCATACGCCGTTCTGTCAGATTTGTTTATTTCGTGACAAAA